ACTATCAGTGAAGGAAGCCATCATTAAGCTGAAAAAACAAAACAAACCCATCAGAGAGCTAGCAAAAACATTAGGCGTGGCCAAAACAACTGTTTGGAACATTCTTAAAAAGAAGGAACGCACCGGTGAGCTCAGCAACACCAAAAGACCCGGAAGACCACGGAAAACAACTGTGGTGGATGACCGAAGAATTCTTTCCCTGGTGAAGTAAACACCCTTCACAACAGTTGGCCAGATCAAGAACACTCTCCAGGAGGTAGGTGTATGTGTGTCAAAGTCACCAATCAAGAGAAGACTTCACCAGAGTGACTACAGAGGGATCACCACAAGATGGAAACCATTGGTGAGCCTCAAAAACAGGAAGGCCAGATTAGAGTTTGCCAAACGACATCTAAAAAAGCCTTCACAGTTCTGGAACAACATCCTATGGACAGATGAGACCAAGATCAACTTGTACCAGAGTGATGGGAAGAGAAGAGTATGGAGAAGGAACTGCTCATGATCCTAAGCATACCACCTCATCAGTGAAGCATGGTGGTGGTAGTGTCATGGCGTGGGCATGTATGGCTGCCAATGGAACTGCTTCTCTTGTATTTATTGATGATGTGACTGCTGACAAATGCAGCCGGATGAATTGTGAAGTGTTTCGGGAATATTATCTGCTCATATTCAGCCAAATGCTTCACAACTCATTGGACGCTTCACAGTGCAGATGGACAATGACCCAAAGCAGACTGCAAAAGCAACCAAAGAGTTTTTTAAGGGAAAGAAGTGGAATGTTATGCAATGGCCAAGTCAATCACCTGACCTGAATCCGATTGAGCATTTCACTTGCTGAAGACAAAACTGAAGGGAAAATGCCCCAAGAACAAGCAGGAACTGAAGACAGTTGCAGTAGAGGCCTGGCAGAGCATCACCAGGGATGAAACCCAACGTCTGGTGATGTCTATGCGTTCCAGACTTCAGGCTGTAATTGACTGCAAAGGATTTGCAACCAAGTATTAAAAAGTGAAAGTTTGATTTATGATTATTATTCTGTCACATTACTTTTGGTCCCTTAACAAGTGGGAGGCACATATGCAAACGGTTGTAATTCTACACCGTTCACCTGATTTGGATGTAAATACCCTCAAATTAAAGCTGACAGTCTGCAGTTAAAGCACATCTTGTTCGTTTCATTTCAAATCCATTGTGGTGGTGTATAGAGCCAAAAATGTCAGAATTGTGTCCATGTCCCAATATTTATGGACCTGACTGTACATTGTTGCAACCACAAGACTTTTCATATAAAATATAATAGCGTACTGGAATCCTCCTCCTCCTCTGATTTGCCAATCATTGCCGGGAAAATCGGCCGATCGTCAAAATCATTTGCGAATTTTCCAACATTACCGATAAAAAAAAATGTGCCAAAACCCCGAAAAACGGCCGACCAATTAACCCACTAACAGTGCGAAAATTGGTCGATTTTTTTTTCGGATGAAAAATCGGCCGATTTTCGACCCGTCCATGGCCTGCATATAGAACTGAAATCCAATGAATGAAAGGGACAGAAAAAGAAGGAAAAGACCTAGATGATGATGGATGTCCTCCAGCAGTGGTTGGCTCCATCTGGCTTATTACAGCTCGTAATGCTCATTGTGAGAAGCTCACAGTGTGCAGTGAAATCAGAGGAAGCCATTCCAGTCCAGGAGAGGAGCCGGTACAACTGTAAGATTGAAGGGAAGGTTGGAGTTCAGCTTGGATGAAAGCTGCGGATTTATAAAAAATGAAAATTATATTTGAAATGGCTAATGATGGGCTGAACACCCCCATATTCGGTTCACGGCTGAACGTTCGAACCTAATGAATGCTCGACCGCGAACTGCAAACTTAATGCAACTTGTAAATTCAAACGTGCCAATATATTGAAGGCTTACATGCAAGCTATTGGCCATAAAAGGGGTATGGGGGCTCGGGGACAACCCTGAGGGGCAGGAATCAGTGAAAAAAAAAATTTGCAAAATGTACCATTTTTAAAGGGGCAGTCATTTTTCATTGCTTTAAGTAAAGAAAAAAAGGTGAAAAATTCCTTTAAATATAATATCGGGGGAGGGGGTCCCCTTAAACCACCTGCATATCTGTACAATGTATAGAACCTGCTTCAGCACGACTGACATTTTTTTTTTAAATTACATTATTAAAAAAAAAAGAAAAAAAAAAAAAAAAAAACAACAAACAGAGTGGGGTTCCCCCCCCCCAATCCTTATCAGACCCTTTAGGTCTGGTAGGGAGATTAGTAGGGTTCCCACAGTAATTTTTTTTTAAAGTATGTGGGGTTCCCCCTAAAAGCCATGTCAAGCCCTTTAGGCCTGGAAGAACTTTTAAGGGGAACCCCACCCTCAAAACATGAGGGGAGGGAGCGTGGGGTTCCCCCTAAAGTTCTACCAGACCCTGAATCTGAGCACAGGCCTAGCAGGGCAGGAAAGGGGGGGGGGGGAAATCAAGTGTTTCCCCCCCCCACAACTTACGAGGCCATGTGCCCTCAGCATTGGGGTGGTGTCTCCCTGCTGATGGGGACAAAGGCCTGGTCTGGTGGTTGTGGAGGTCTGCGGGCAAGGGGGGTTCATTAGCATCAGGGTACCCCTCTAAATAAGGGGGCACCCTGATGCTGCCCCCCCCCCCACCGTGAATGAGTAAGGAGTAATTGTACCCCTTCCCTTTAACTAAAGGGTTAAATTTAGAAAATATAAAGACATCAGACTTTTGAAAAATTCCTTTAAATGAACAAAAACAAAACAACAGTTTTTAGTCCTTTAATTAAAAAAAAAGCCAAAAAAGCCCCCCGAAAAAAAAAAGGTTCCATTGATGTAATCCGTCATCAATCACGACGTCCAGCATTGTCCCAACAGCGGCGACTCGCAGAAATGGAAAGAAAAAACCCGACTCCCGCCGACCTGTTCGCACCTGACGAGCGCTCGCCGCATTATGACTGGTCTGACATTTGCCGGTCAGATGTAAACAAATAAGCATGGCTAGCGGTGATCACTGAATGCCACATTCAAACACACAAATGGCCGATGTTCGAGTCGAACTTACAATCGACTTGAAGATCGAGCCCAATATGGCAACAAAAAGCTAGAAAAAAAACCACTAGAAAAGCTTCTATGAAAATGAGGCAAATGGGTTTCCATACAGTATGCATGTATTCTGATTGCCTGCTGTGAGATAATCAGTTACAGGACAGGTCAAACACTGGGGTTTTTTTTAAACATCCCAAGGGCCAAGAATTGTGACTTTGATGTGTAGCTGGGGCACCTCAGGTAAACCAAAAAAACTATTTTGGTTTTATACAGCACAATGACATACAGTTGTGACCAAAATTATTCAACCCCCAATGCTGTAAAGGGGTTTAGGGACTATAGTGTACATTTGGAATTGTATTCAGAATCAAATCCTACAAGGACGTTGTAACTACCCAAATGCAACTAAAATGACATCAATTGTTTATGTAATACAGTAGTAAATGGTTCTTATGTGGTTTCTTCATTGCCACAATTATTCAACCCCTTAAAGACTACCACTCTGAAGAACAGAGGTTCATACAGGTGCTTTCCATCAGGTATTGAAAACACCTGTGGATGTCACCGAGCAGCAATCAAGCATAATAAGCACCAATTAGGCAGCTTTAAAATGACTGTGATACTCAGCTCCTTCTAGACATTTACTGGTGTGGTTACAAACATGGTGAAGGCAAGAGAATGGTCCAGGAAGACAAGAGAAGAGGTGATTTCTCTTCACAGGAAGGGCAATGGCTATAAGAAGATTGCAAAGATGTTAAACATACCAAGAGACACCTTAGGAAGCATCATTCGCAAATTCAAGGCAAAGGGCACTGTTGAAACGCTACCTGGTCGTGGCAGAAAGAAGATGCTGACTTCGACTGCTGTGCGCTACCTGAAGCGTAGAGTGGAGAGAAGTCCCCGTGTGACTGCTGAGGAACTGAGAAAAGATTTGTCAGATGTGGGTACAGAAGTTTCAGCCCAGACAATAAGACGCACACTGCGTAATGAAGGCCTCCGTGCCAGAACTCCCAGGCGTACCCCCTTGCTGTCTCCAAAGAATAAGAAGAGTCGACTGCAGTATGCCAAAAGCCATGTGGACAAACCACAAAAGTTGTGGGATAGTGTTCTGTGGACTGATGAAACAAAATTAGAACTGTTTGGGCCCATGGATCAACGCTATGTTTGGAGGAGGAAGAACAAGGCCTATGATGAAAAGAACACCTTGCCTACTGTGAAGCATGGTGGAGGGTCAATCATGCTTTGGGGCTGTTTTGCTTCTGCAGGTACAGGGAAGCTTCAGCGTGTGCAAGGTACCATGAATTCTCTTCAGTACCAGGAGATATTGGATGGAAACGTGATGCAGTCCGTCACACACCTGAGGCTTGGGAGACGTTGGACCTTTCAACAGGACAATGATCCCAAGCATACCTCCAAGTCCACTAGAGCATGGTTGCAGAGGAAAGGCTGGAACATTTTGGAGTGGCCATCGCAGTCACCAGACTTAAATCCGATTGAGAACCTCTGGTGGGACTTAAAGAAAGCAGTTGCAGTGCGCAAGCCTAAGAATGTGACTGAACTGGAGGCCTTTGCCCATGAAGAATGGGCGAAGATACCCGTAGATCGCTGCAAGACACTTGTGTCAAGCTATGCTTCACGTTTAAAAGCTGTTATAACTGTAAAAGGATGCTGTACTAAGTACTAAGATTGAATGTCACTTGGGGGTTGAATAAAACTGATAATGCTGTGAGCACAGAAAAGACATTTGTGGTTATTTCATTATAACTGTTATGTTATATTTGTCTGACCTACAAGTGCCTCTTTAATGTAAATGTAAGCAAGATGACTGAATGATCAAAAGCAATGTCAAACTGGCCAAAACACTCAATTTCAGTGGGGGTTGAATAATTTTGGTCACAACTGTAGCTAGTGCCACAACCAGGGGCGGACTGACAACTCATGGGGCCCCCGGCAATAGGGGATCATGGGGCCCCTGTGTCCTTGCCCAAATTTAAAAAAGCCTATGAAAAAGGTACCAGGGACATCTCATGGGGCCCCCTACTGACCCCGGGCCTTTGGGCAGTGCCCAAGTTTTCAAATGGTCAGTCCGCCCCTGGCCACAACGCACCTCTCCAGCACCCGAACTCCAACTGATCGTTCACTATCTGTTTTGCAATATTTCATCTTGTGACTCAGTTGATGATTCACCTTTATATCCTCTATAAGAATTCATAGAGAACATCAACTTGATTACCTGTCGCCTACTGAGGAACCGCCCACAAAGTCTGTATTTTCTGAAAGCAGAGACCCCAGAGAATAAAATGGTGGTAGCTGCAAAAAATTTTTATGTTGCACAATATTTGTGCAGCTATTTATAAAACCCATATTTTCAGGAAAAATACACCAAATTAAAACACAATACACTGTAATACCCAATTTGTTGGTAAAATATAAAAGGGTTACATCGAGTAAATAGATACCAACAGTGCCGAGATAAGGTCATCTAGCGCCCAGAGCGAAGATCCCAAATGTATGAACATTGTGTGTCAGCAAAAATTCCTTCTCCCCCCCATGAAAAAAATTCAAACAACTATATTCACACTTACCCCCAAGAAAAAATTCCCCCTACAAATCAAACTTTACCCTCTTCCAGTATAAATCTCCCCTCCCAGCTCAAATCCGCTCCCTCCCCAAATCCCCCTCCCAGCTCAAATCCGCTCCCTCCCCAAATCCCCCTCCCAGCTCAAATACGCTCCCTCCCCAAATCCCCCTCCCAGCTCAAATCCGCTCCCTCCCCAAATCTTCCCTCCCAGCTCAAATCCGCTCCCTCCCCAAATCTCCCCTCACAGCTCAAATCCGCTCCCTCCCCAAATCCCCCTCCCAGCTCAAATACGCTCCCTCCCCAAATCCCCCTCCCAGCTCAAATCCGCTCCCTCCCCAAATCCCACCTCACAGCTCAAATCCACTCCCTCCCCACATCTCCCCTCCTAGCTCAAATCCACTCCCTCCCCAAATCCCCCCTCCTAGCTTAAATCTGCTCCCTCCCCAAATCTCCCCTCCCAGCTCAAATCAGCTCCCTCCCCAAATCTCCCCTCCTAGCTCAAATCCACTCGCTCCCTAAATCTCCCCTCCCAGCTCAAATCCGCTCTCTCCCCAAATCTTCCCTCCTAGCTCAAATCCGTTCGCTCCCCAAATCTCCCCTCCCAGCTCAAATCCGCTCCCTCCCCAAATCTTCCCTCCTAGCTCAAATCCGTTCGCTCCCCAAATCTCTCCTCCCAGCTCAAATCCGCTCCCTCCCCAAATCTCCCCTCCCAGCTCAAATCCGCTCCCTCCCCAAGTCTCCCCTCCCAGCTCAAATCCGCTCCCTCCCCAAGTCTCCCCTCCCAGCTCAAATCCGCTCCCTCCCCAAATCCCCCCTCCCAGCTCAAATCCGCTCCCTCCCCAAATCTCCCCTCCCAGCTCAAATCCGCTCTCCCTCCCCAAATCTCCCCTCCCAGCTCAAATCCGCTCTCTCCCCAAATCTCCCCTCCCAGCTCAAATCCGCTCCCTCCCCAAATCTTCCCTCCTAGCTCAAATCCGTTCGCTCCCCAAATCTCCCCTCCCAGCTCAAATCCGCTCCCTCCCCAAATCTCCCCTCCCAGCTCAAATCCGCTCCCTCCCCAAGTCTCCCCTCCCAGCTCAAATCCGCTCCCTCCCCAAGTCTCCCCTCCCAGCTCAAATCCGCTCCCTCCCCAAATCCCCCCTCCCAGCTCAAATCCGCTCCCTCCCCAAATCTCCCCTCCCAGCTCAAATCCGCTCCCTCCCCAAATCTCCCCTCCCAGCTCAAATCCGCTCGCTCCCCAAAATTCCCCTCCCAGCTCAAATCCGCTCCCTCCCCAAATCTCCCCTCCCAGCTCAAATCCGCTCCCTCCCCAAATCTCCCCTCCCAGCTCAAATCCGCTCCCTCCCCAAATCTCCCCTCCCAGCTCAAATCTGCTCATATATATATATATTATGTTGAAATGCATTTTTTATATATTACAAAATATATGAAAAATATTTTTAAATATATATATTTTTAAATATACTGCATGTCTTTAAAAATACATTTAAACTACATTTTTGGAATGCATTTACAAATATTTTTATATGTAAAAAAAAATCTGTAGAACATATTTTAAAAAAATATATTTTGAAAAATATTTTTCATATATTTTGTAATATAAAAAAATGCATTTCAACATGATCTATATAATATACATATATATTGAATAAAGACAAACAGTATATTTGAAAATGTATATTTAAAAATATTTATCATACATTTTGTAATAATAACGCATTTCAATATACAGTATATGTGTGTGTGTGTGTATATATATATATATATATATATATATATATATATATATATTATATTTATATAAATATATATATTAAAAAAATAGATATATATATTGAAAATAAATATATATATATATATATATACATATATATTGTGACAGGATGAACGGCGAGGTGATAGAGGGACGCTATGTGTCACCTCGCATATGCTCATACCTGACCGTTTAGGTGGAGTCCACTCCGGGTTTTCGGGGCCACAGTTAAGCAGGTGGGTCCGGACCAGAGTTTGGGCTCCACTGATGACCACCAACAGGTGGTATAAATAAGGCAGGGCTGGAGCAAGGAGTTGCTCGTGGCCTGGGACTCAGAGAGGTATTCTGAGAGAGCTGTGTGTACACTAAACCTACAAGAAAAGGTTTGCTTTTGTTTTATTTCGGTTACAGGGAGAAGCCCTTCACCTCTGAGAGAGGAAACGCCTTTTGTTTAGTTAGTGCCTGGATGGCAAGGGTTTATTTTCATGTTTTTGTTTATTTTCTGAAAACCTTTTAAATAAAGCTGACAACCAGTCAGATTTTGATGAAAGCCTGCTGTGCGGTCTACCTTTGTCCCAGGGAAGGAGATGCCCCACCTGAGCTAACCCCCATATATATATATATATATATATATATATATATATATATATATATATATACGGTGTGTGTGTGTATATATATATATATATATATATATATATATATATATATACGGTGTATATCTATATCTTTATTGAAATATATTTTAAAATATATTGAATACGGCCAAAATTGTAGTATTTTAAATATGTCAATATATTTGGGAAGAATATATTTTTTAAATATATTTCAAATATATTTTTCTTCCATGTGGGCAACCTGACTCGGGAGCGTGTCCGCACATGTGCCCCCTTTGCATACAGCTTGCTTTGGGGGCAGACATAGAAGAGGAGGAGCAGAGAACGCCGGCGGGGGGAACCCAAGAAGAAGAAGTTGAAGGGGGCTGCTCTGTGTGATGCTATTACACAGAGCAGGTAAGTATAGGATCCCTTTCACACTGCCATTCTGATCATGCCCCCCTGTCAGTTTTTCAGGCAGACCTGATCGGATGGCCCATTCATCCCTATCTGGTTGTGGTTCCTATAGCCAAACTGATGGATATTAATAGGAATTGTCCTAAAGAAATCTGGCCGCCTTGGATAGCACAATGAGTGTTCCTTTTCCTTACTCTTCGCAGGTTTTGTATTTCAGGATCTCACCATTCTTTTTATTTGAGGGTTTCCTTTTTATTACATTTTCTGTATGGTTTATGTACTCTATATATTCTCGCCTGCTTTTGTTCGCTGTGTACATGTGATCGTGTTTTACTATCTTGCTTTGTACCATCTTGATGCTGTTACTGTACCATGCCTTCGTTTCAATAAAGAGCAATCCTGGATGTTAAAAAAAAAAAAAAAATGCAGAAGAGGATTTATTATTATTATTATATTATTATTATTACTACGAGTTTATATAGCGCCAAAGGGTTTGCTCAGCGCTGTACAATAGGGGGGGACAATACATGGCACAGTACAACAACAAACAACGTACGAGGGGTAAGAGGGCCCTACTCTTACGAGCTTACAATCTAGGAATTTGTTCTATTCTGTTAGGCAGATCATATCAAAAGGTAGTCCGGTGTAAACGGACAACAAAGTGACACCCGGGCCCGGCCGACCATAGAGCTGAGCGGGTTCTGTCCGTGTGAGAGGGGCCCAACCAGGGGCGGACTGACCATTTTGGAAACTCGGGCACTGCCTGAGGGCCCGAGGTCAGTAGGGGGCCCCATGAGATGCCCCTGGTACCATTTTGATAGGTTTTTTTGAGTGTGGGCAAGGACACAGGGGCCCCTGGGCCCAACATGTTTATTATTTTAATTTTATAAAAAATATTATTACAACCGCTTTAATTAATTTATTTTATTTAAATTTAGTTTCTTCTTTTTTTAGACATGCACAAAAAAGGCCTTTATTTCATTTATAAATAACTTTGCAATGCTTTGTACCAGAATCCTCATTTTAGTGCCATTTTAAAGAGGACAAATGACAGATAAAAATGTGAGTTACATTATATTGCCGCCCTTTCCACACACATGACCTTTAGTGGCCCCCCAGTCTTAGTCCGTAGGGTTCAATATTGAGTTGGCCCCGCCCTTTCCACACACATGACCTTTAATGGCCCCCCAGTCTTAGTCCGTAGGGTTCAATATTGAGTTGGCCCCGCCCTTTGCAGCTATAACAGCGTCAACTCTTCTGGGAAGGCCGTCCACAAGGTTTAGGAGGGTGTCTATGGGAAGGTTGGACCATTCTTCCAGAAGCACATTTGTCAGGTCAGGCACTGATGTCGGGGGAGGAGGTTTGGCTCGCAGTCTCGGCTCTAATTCATCCCAAAGGTGTTCTATGGGGTTGAGGTCAGGACTCTGTGCAGGCCAGTCAAGTTCCTCCACCCCAAACTGGCTCCTCCATGTCTTTATGGACCTTGCTTTGTGCACTGGTGCGCAGTCATGTTGGAACAGGAAGGGGCCATCCCCAAACTCTTCCCACAAAGCTGGGAACATGAAATTGTCCAAAATGTCTTGGCATGTTGACACCTTAAGAGTTCCCTTCACTGGAACTAGGGGGCCAAGTCAACCCCTGAAAAGCAACCCCACACCATAATCCCCCCTCCACCAAACTTTACACTTGGCACAATGCAGTCAGGCAAGTACCATTCTCGTGGCAACCGCCAAACCCAGACACGTCCATCGGATTTCCAGACAGAGAAGTGAGACTCCAGAGAACATGTCTCCACTGCTCTAGAGTCCGGTGGCAGCGAGCTTTACACCACGGCATCCGATGCTTTGCATTGCACTTGGTGATGGAAGGCTTGGATGCAGCTGCTCGGCCATGGAAACCCATTCCATGAAGCTCTCTACGCACTGTTGTTGGGCTCACCTGAAGGCCACACCAAGTTTGGAGGTCTTTAGCTATTGACTCTGCAGACAGTTGGGAGTTCTGCGCACTGTGCGCTTCAGCATGCGCTGACCCCGCTCTGTCATGTGTCACTTGGTGGCTGAGTGGCTGTTGTTCCCAGTTGCTTCCACTTTGTTATAATCCCACTAACCGTTGAGCGTGGAATATTTAGTAGCCAGGAAATGTCACGGATGGACTTATTGCACAGGTGGCCACCTATCACGGGACCACGCTTGGAGTCACTGAGCTCCTGAGAGCGCCCCCATTCTTTCACCAATGTTTGTAGAAGCAGTCTGCATGCCTAGGGGCTTGATGGTATACACCTGTGTCCATGGAGGGGATTGGAACACCTGAATCACATGATTTGGAGGGGCGGGGCCAATACTTTTGGCAATATAGTGTATGTATTATTTTATCTTAAGTAATGATAACCAAATAAATAGGCCCACTGCAGAAATATAAACAAATTCTGTTCTAACGATTTGTGTGGAGATTCTGATTAACTCCAAAGTGCTCATTGGTGAACTGTAACTGTACATGAAAAATGTCAGGCAGCAATGTGCTGTGATCAGCTCTTATGAGCAGGACCCTCCAATCCCTGCCATGAATTTGTATTGTAGCTGTACTGTCTCCCCTTGTCTCCCTATATAAATCATGTAATTATAATATATATTTATATTGTAAAGTGCTGAGCAAACTGTTGGCGCTATATAAATCCTGTATAATAATAATAATAATATATATAATAAAAATAATATATATAATCAAGTAGTATTGTTCTTATATAATCGTAGAATAACATTACTAATAATAAAAAATTATTATTATTACTACTAGTAGTAACAGTAGTAGTAATTGTATTACAATATTAATAAAATACCGTTTTCTGTTACCTTGTAAATATCACCAAATATAAAAAAATTTCATGTAACATCCCTTTATAAACACTAGATGGCACCACATTTTTTTTTTTTTTTTTTTGCTATAATAGACTGTTGCCATTAAAACACTCGCCCTCCAGAGGATTCCTTCCCCCCCCCCCCCCCCCCTTCCTGACCAGGCTATTTTTCACGATAAGGCGCTGTGTTACTTTAACTAACAATTGCGCGGTCATGCAATGCTGCACCCAAATGAAATTGACGTCCTTTTTTTCCCACGAATTGAGCTTTCTTTTGGCTGTATTTGAACGCCTCTGCATTTTTTATTTTTTTGCGCTATATAAAAAAAAAGACCGACAATTTTGAGAAAAAAAACTATATTTTGAACTTTTTGCTATTAACCAATTCAATACCAGGCAATTTTACACCTTCCTGCCCAGGCCAGTTTTCAGGTTTCAGCGCTCTCACACTTTGAATGACAATTGCGCGGTCATACTACATTGTACCCAAACTAAAATTTTATCATTTTCTTCACACAACTAGAGCTTTCTTTTGGTGGTATTTAATCACCGCCGGGGTTTTTATTTTTTGCTAAGTTAACAAAAAAAATACCAAAAATGTTGAAAAAAAACACGTTTTTCTTTGTTTCTGTTATAAAAGTTTGCAAATAAATAATTGTTCTTTATAAATTTAGGCCGAGATGTATTCTGCTACATGTCTTTGGTGAAAATAACCCAAATTAGGATGTATTATTTAGTTTGTAGGAAAGTTATAGAGTTCACAAACTATGGTATAGATCTGAATATTGATCAATCCTGAAGTACTGACAGCCAATCTAATTTCTTGAATGACAGAACAGTACAGATATCCCCAAATGTCAGAACTAGAGATGAGCGAAGTATTCAAAAATTCGATTCAACTGATTCGGCGAATTCGTGGACAATATTCGATTCGAGTCGAATATATTCGCTGTGAATTTAACTTAAAAAAGGGTGTTTCTAGGCTTCAGAGAGCCTTTATATTAGTGCAGAACACTGTACCTTTAATTTAAATGCCCTTGGAGTCTGCTGGGGAAGAGAAATAATACTGTCAGTCAGTATGACATGCAGATGAGTGCCGTCGATCTTAGAATCACCGCACACTTCACTCATTGGGGCAGTCACGGGGCCAAAACCAGTGTTTGTAGCCACAGTGTGGCGGTGGAGGCAGCAGCAATGGGAGGCCATACAGCAACCTATGACAAAATGGAAACCAGCAGGAGTGTGAGGAGACCTGAAAGTGGCACATGGCAGAGTGGGAGCAATGGGAGGCGGTACAGGGACCCATGTCACACTGTGGACCCAGCAGCAGCGTGACCAGGCGGTACGGAGGCCCATGGCAGATTACAGGCCTGGCAGCAGCAATGGGAGGCCCGTAATCTGTCAGCACCCTATGACAAAATGGAACCCACCAGCAGTGTGAGGAGACCTGAAAGTGGCACATGGCAGAGTGTGGCGATGGAGACAGCAGCAATGGGAGGCCGTACAGGGACCCATGAGAGACTCTGGACCTGGCAGCAGCATGAGGAGGCGGTATATAGGGGCCCATGGCAGATTAGGGGCCTGGCAGCAGCTATGGGAGGCCCGTAATCTGCCAGCACCCTATGTCAAAAAATTCAACACACCAGCAGTGTGAGGAGACCTGAAAGTGGCACATGTTTGGGGCATGATTCATGGCGGATTTAGTCAGTTGTGTCAGGAACTGGTGGTTTGAAATCCAGACTAATCCACGCCTGATTCATTTTCACAAACGTGAGTCTCTCCACACTTTGGGTGGACAGTCGTGTCCTCCGCGGAGTTGCAATACCTCCTGCCGCACTAAACACGCGCTCCGATGCCACGCTACTGGCCGGGCATGACAGCCTTAATTCAGCTAGTTGGGGCCAAAGGTCAGTTTCGTTGCCCAGTAGTCAAGGGGATTGTCTACCTCGGTTGGCAGGGTGCTGTCCAAGTAGGCCTAAGCCTGTTGTTTGAGGTCCTGCTCCAGGTCCACCTGATGCTGCTGCTGCTGCGGCTGGTTATTAGTTTCCTCACTGCGCTGGTGAAGAAAGCTACTCATCATCGACTGCAGACTGAGGCAGCTGCTGCTGGTGGAGCTGCCACTGCTCCTACCACCCCACCCCTCCCCTGCTGCCATGGCAGCGTAACGCGAGCGCACAGGGCCCACAGTGTCTGAGGATGGACGTTGGCGCAGACAGGCAGAGACCAGCTGACTACATAGGTGGTTTTTATAGTACGTTATTTTGGCCTCCCTCTCAGCAGGTGTGAAAAAGGCCACCATTTTTGGAACGGTAGCGAGGGTCCAACAAGGTGGACAGCCAAAAGTCATCCCTCTGTCTGATGGTTATTATTCGGCTGTCGCTACGCAAGCAAGCGAGCATGCTATGGGCCATTTGTGCCAAGGAATGCGAGGGACTCCCTGCCTCCATCTCCACAGCATACTGCCACGGTGCGTCTGGGTCCTCTGTCTCCTCTTCCTCCTCCTCTACCAGATGCTCCTGCTCCTCCACTCCTGTCCGCTGAGTGGAAAAACCACCCATTTCACTCAATAATTCCTGAGCACCAATGTCCTCCTCTACCTCCTCCTCTTCTTCCTGTCCTGCCCCCACAGGGGTCATGTGGCGTTGAGATCTGTGCGCCACGTCTACCGTCTACCGCACCCTGACCAGCCATTATTAACAGCATTTGTTCCAGGACGTGCAACAGAGGAATGACGTCGTTCATCCCATAGTCCTGCCGACTCACGAATAGCGTGGCCTCCTCAAAGGGCCTGAGCAAGCGCAGGTGTCACGCATGAGCTGCCAATGGCTGACATCTAAGTTACACAGGGAGTACCTTTATCCGCTTTTAACATCAGGAAATCTGTGATGGCCTTTTGCTGTTCGTAAAGGCGGTCTAACATATGTAGGGTTGAATTCCACCTTGTTGCAACGTCACAGCATGAGGAGTCGGTACGGGGGCCCATGGCAGATTACGGGCCTGGCAGCAGCAATGGGAGGCCCGTAATCTGCCAGCACCCTATGTCAAAAAATTCAACACACCAGCAGTGTGTGAGGAGACCTGAAAGTGGCACATGGCAGAGTGTGGCGATGGAGACAGCAGCAATGGGAGGCCGTACAGGGACCCATGAGAGACTCTGGACCTGGCAGCAGCATGAGGAGGCGGTATATAGGGGCCCATGGCAGATTAGGGGCCTGGCAGCAGCTATGGGAGGCCCGTAATCTGCCAGCACCCTATGTCAAAAAATTCAACACACCAGCAGTGTGAGGAGACCTGAAAGTGGCACATGGCATGAGAGACTGTGGACCTGGCAGCAGCATGAGGAGGCGGTACAGGGGCCCATGGCAGATTAGGGGCCTGGGCAGCCTGGCAGCAGCATGGGAGGCCTGTAAGGGGCCAGCAGATTGTGGCCTGGCAGCAGCAATGGGAAAAAAATCTGCCAGCAGCAGCATGATGTCAAAAAAAAATTAACACACCAGGTGGGAGGAGACCTGAGGCCCGTGGCACATGGCAGAGTGTGGCGATGGAGACAGCAGCAATGGGAGGCCGTACAGGGACCCATGGACAGAGACTCTGGACCTGGCAGCAGCATGAGGAGGCGGTATATAGGGGCCCATGGCAGATTAGGGGCCTGGCAGCAGCTATGAGGAGGCCCGTAATCTGCCAGCACCCTATGTCAAAAAATTCAACACACCAGCAGTGTGAGGAGACCTGAAAGTGGCACATGGCAGAGTGTGGCGATGGAGACAGCAGCAATGGGAGGCCGTACAGGGACCCATGACAGACTCTGGACTGGCAGCAGCATGAGGAGGCGGTATAATGGGCCCATGGCAGATTAGGGGCCTGGCAGCAGCTATGGGAGGCCCGTAATCTGCCAGCACCCTATGTCAAAAAATTCAACACACCAGCAGTGTGTGAGGAGACCTGAAAGTGGCACATGGCAGAGTGTGGCGATGGAGACAGCAGCAATGGGAGGCCGTACAGGGACCCATGACAGACTCTGGACCTGGCAGCAGCATGAGGAGGCGGTATAGGGGCCCATGGCAGATTAGGGGCCTGGCAGCAGCTATGGGAGGCCCGTAATCTGCCAGCACCCTATGTCAAAAAATTCAACACACCAGCAGTGTGAGGAGACCTGAAAGTGGCACATGGCAGAGTGTGGCGATGGAGACAGCAGCAATGGGAGGCCGTACAGGGACCCATGAGAGACTCTGGACCTGGCAGCAGCATGAGGAGGCGGTATATAGGGGCCCATGGCAGATTAGGGGCCTGGCAGCAGCTATGGGAGGCCCGTAATCTGCCAGCACCCTATGTCAAAAAATTCAACACACCAGCAGTGTGTGAGGAGACCTGAAAGTGGCACATGGCAGAGTGTGGCGATGGAGACAGCAGCAATGGGAGGCCGTACAGGGACCCATGACAGACTCTGGACTTGGCAGCAGCATGAGGAGGCGGTATATAGGGGCCCATGGCAGATTAGGGGCCTGGCAGCAGCTATGGGAGGCCCGTAATCTGCCAGCACCCTATGTCAAAAAATTCAACACACCAGCAGTGTGTGAGGAGACCTGAAAGTGGCACATGGCAGAGTGTGGCGATGGAGACAGCAGCAATGGGAGGCCGTACAGGGACCCATGACAGACTCTGGACTTGGCAGCAGCATGAGGAGGCGGTATATAGGGGCCCATGGCAGATTAGGGGCCTGGCAGCAGCTATGGGAGGCCCGTAATCTGCCAGCACCCTATGTCAAAAAATTCAACACACCAGCAGTGTGTGAGGAGACCTGAAAGTGGCACATGGCAGAGTGTGGCGATGGAGACAGCAGCAATGGGAGGCCGTACAGGGACCCATGAGAGACTCTGGACCTGGCAGCAGCATGAGGAGGCGGGTATATAGGGGCCCATGGCAGATTAGGGGCCTGGCAGCAGCTATGGGAGGCCCCGTAATCTGCCAGCACCCTATGTCAAAAAATTCAAACACACCAGCAGTGTGAGGAGACCTGAAAGTGGCACATGTTTGGGGCATGATTCATGGCGGATTTAGTCAGTTGTGTCAGGAACTGGTGGTTTGAAATCCAGACTAATCCACGCCTGATTCATTTTCACAAACGTGAGTCTCTCCACACTTTGGGTGGACAGTCGTGTCCTCCGCGGAGTTACAATACCTCCTGCCGCACTAAACACGCGCTCCGATGCCACGCTACTGGCCGGGCATGACAGCCTTTCAAGGGCAAATTCAGCTAGTTGGGGCCAAAGGTCAAGTTTCGTTGCCCAGTAGTCAAGGGGATTGTCTACCTCGGTTGGCAGGGTGCTGTCCAAGTAGGCCCAAGCCTGTTGTTTGAGGTCCTGCTCCAGGTCCACCTGATGCTGCTGCTGCTGCTGCGGCTGGTTAGTAGTTTCCTCACTGCGCTGGTGAAGAAAGCTACTCATCATCGACTGCAGACTGAGGCAGCCGCTGCTGGTGGAGCTGCCACTGCTCCTACACCCCCACCCCTCCCCTGCTGCCATGGCAGCGGAACGCGAGCGCACAGGGCCCACAGTGTCTGAGGATGGACATTGGCAGCAGCTAAAGGCAGAGACCAACTGACTACATAGGTGGTTTTTATAGTACGTTATTTTGGCCTCCCTCTCAGCAGGTGTGAAAAAGGCCACCATTTTTGAACGGTAGCGAGGGTCCAACAAGGTGGACAGCCAAAAGTCATCCCTCTGTCTGATGGTTATTATTCGGCTGTCGCTACGCAAGCAACCGAGCATGCTATGGGCCATTTGTGCCAAGGAATGCGAGGGACTCCCTGCCTCCATCTCCACAGCATACTGCCACGGTGCGTCTGGGTCCTCTGTCTCCTCCTCCTCCTCCTCTACCAGATGCTCCTGCTCCTCCACTCCTGTCCGCTGAAAAAAACCACCCATTTCACTCAATAATTCCTGAGCACAAATGTCCTCCTCTACCTCCTAATCTTCTTCCTGTCCTGCCCCCACAGGGGTCATGTGGCGTTGAGATCTGTGCGCCACGTCTACCGCACCCTGACCAGCCATTGTTAACAGCATTTGTTCCAGGACGTGCAACAGAGGAATGACGTCGTTCATGCCACCCATAGTCCTGCCGACTCACGAATAGCGTGGCCTCCTCAAAGGGCCTGAGCAACATGGCAGGTGTCACGCATGAGCTGCCAATGGCTGACATCGAAGTTACACAGGGGAGTACCTTTATCCGCTTGTAACATCAGGAAATCGGTGATGGCCTTTCGCTGTTCGTAAAGGCGGTCTAACATGTGTAGGGTTGAATTCCACCTTGTTGCAACGTCGCAGATCAGGCGATGCTGTGCAATTCCGTTCTGCCGCTGCAGCTCAAGGAGGGTGTGCTTTGCGGTGTAGGAATGGCTGAAATGCATGCAAACCTTTACGTGACATTTTAAGGATGTCTTGCAGTGGGATGGTGGATTTTAGGAACCGCTTGACAACCAGATTGAACACGTGAGCCATGCATGGCGCATGGCACAACCTTCCTTGACGCAGAGCAGACACCATGTTCAGTGGTTGTCGGTCAACATGGTTCCGATTTTCAGTTTGCGCGGAGACAGCCATCTGTCGATTTCTCTGTTCATTACACTGAGAAGTTCCTCCCCTGTGTGACTACGTTCGCCTGGACCTGGCAGCAGCA